CAATTATTTTATCCCACCTACTGTATGTTCATGCAGGTGTTCTGGGTCGATACTGTGTGACTTCAATTATCTGTTTGACCTTTAATACACATTTGAGGAAGGGAACTGGAGTACAGTTTCAATGCTTGTTCAGGCCCTAGCATGACTGAATGCAAGCTATTCTGTACTCAGAAAATTCTCTTGCTACTGCTGTAAATGAATCAGTAAAAGTCTACACCAGAAGCATAGCCTTGTTTTTACTTTGTCTATAAGGTAACTAGTATGGATGGTAATGTCTTTGGATTCACCCCTTTGTATAACCTTGACATATGAAGGAGTACAATACATTGTTTAGGAGAAGTAAGTGGAAACTTCGGAAGTTAAACTCAGGAGATCAGTATGATCAGAGTTTTTTTTTTTTGTTTTTTGTTTTTTTTGGCAATTGGGGTTAAGTGACTTACCCAGAGTCACACAGCTAGTAAGTGTCAAGTGTTTGGTCTGAGGCCAGATTTGAACTCAGGTCCTCCTGACTTCAGGGCTGGTGCTGTATCCACTGCGCCACCTAGCTGCCCTGATCAGAGTTTTCTTAATGGGATTTGTGGGCAGATTCTTGGATAGCATCAAATACCACTAGGAAAGAAAGAGTGGTGGTAACTGAAATGTGCTGGGAGACTGGTAGGCCCAAGGGGGCAGGAAAATGAAAGAAAGATATTGTATAGTGAGGATGACCTGTTTTTGCTAAAGGATTTCTCAGACTCCATCATTCTCTCCCTTTAGGAAATTCTACTCGTCAGATGTCACTGTTGTATCCTTCAATGCTATATGAAAGGAGAAGGCCAAAGGCAGGTAGGCTCAAATATATTTTGCTTATATGAAATAAATATAAAAGAGGCAATACCGCCTCCAGGCTTTTATCAAGGAGACACAATAAAGGACAGTGATTAATGAAGTGACAGAAAGCAACATGGTACAATAGAAAAATCACCAGCACTAGACAGGGGTCTCGGGTTCAAATCCTCCCTCTGCCACTTACTGCCCATAGGACCCTGGACAAATCACTTCATCTACCTCAGGCTCAGTTTCCTCATTTGTAAAATGAGAGTCAGACTTCCTCTTCCAACTCCAGATCTATGATCACCTGAATTAAGATGTCAGAGATTCTTTTTTTTTTTTAAGGCAATTAGGGATAAGTGACTTGCCGAGGGTCACACAGCTAGTAAGTGTCAAGTGTCTAAGGCTAGATTTGAACTCAGGTTCTCCTGACTTTAGGGCCAGTGCTCTATCCACTGTACCACCTAGTTGCCCCAATATTAGAGATTCTGAAACAGGAATCCCGGAGGTCGCCTAATCCATTTCACAGATGAGCAAACTGAAGCCCTGATGTGCGAAGTGACTCACCAAGGTCACACTGATTGTAAGGGTCTGAGATGGGATATGAACTCATTCTACTGCTTTCTAAATTCATACGGTTATGTCCCACGCCAATCAGAGAGTATCGATTGGAGTCTGGCCAGGAGCAAACGTAACTGAGGAAGATCAGCCAGAAACTAACTAGACTGCATAAAAAAAAAAAAATTCAACAGTTGGAAAAAAGAGGTTTTATTATGGTGATTTGGATGCCCTTCCATGTCTCTGAATCGAGCAAGTTTTTGACTTTTCATCGGGATGTCTGGCACTGTGTAGGTAGAGCTATAAGCTTCAAACCCAAAAGCAGACATTTAATCATCTTAGCAGCCCTCAAATTGTTTTCATATCATAAATTCCTGGGTTATTGGAAGGAAACTATTTAGTTTCTTGGAAATGGTGTGAATGCTTCTTGCTAAAGCGTTAAATGATTCTTTCCTCCAGCCAAATGAGTTTATAGCCAGACTGTTTGTGTCATTCATTATCTACTTCATTATCCACTTACCTCAGTGCCACTGTTCAGCAATTAAAGTCAATGAACTGAAGCCTGAGGCCCTGAACTATGGAACTTTACATTCATTTTTCAGTTGTTTTCGATTCACTGAAACATCATGTTGAGACTTTGAAAGGCTGGAATTTATCAATCACATATTGCAAAGGAAATCGGGGTCAACCTACACTTTTACTGAGTCCCAAGTTTTTCTTGGTGTTTCTACTAAGCTCAAATTAAAACCAGCTTTGTGGAAATAAACAGTTTTTGCTGAGTGAAATGTGCTTGGTCAGATGAAACAATAGATGACTCTTTTGTGCAAGAATGGAAGAGGACTGATAAAACAGAGAATTATCTTAGAGAAAAGCAAACCACAGGCATGTGAGAACTTGATCATGGAATCTTAAGAGCCAGAAGGGGCCTTTGGGCCCATCTGGTCTAACCTCCCACGCAGGGCAGAAAACCCCTGTGAGTTAACATAGCATCTCTTTGAGCACAGACCAAAACAGAATTGGGAGAGTTAGGTCATGCTTTTCTTAAATGGATCATCTCTTTATTAAAAGACCAAGTAAGAAAATCAAACCTTATAAATAATGTTTTATGATACCTATTCAAAGTGATATTTAAAATAGCAAAATTTCTAATGGCTCAGTAGGAACTCTATGGCAGATATTGCTCATGACTATGTCAGTCTAAGAAGGCACAGCTTCAGGCCACAACATACCAATGAAGTGAGTATGGCTCTATTTTTCCCAAATAGCATTTAGTGCCCTGAAATGGTTAATGTAACTTTCATAATGACTAATGATAAACCAAAAGATAGCTTCAACATGGACAATTTTGATATGGAAAGGGTTGTATAACTTGATTCTACAGAAAAAAAAATTGAATAAAGCCCCCTTTCCCCAAACTATCTATCTTATATTCATCTTATATATGTTTTACATACGTATGTAGCATATATTTATACATGTTGTTTCCCTTTTGAATTTGTATCCCTAGGCCTAATACAGAGTAGGTGCTTGATAAACCTTTGTTGATGGATTGATAGGATAGGATAGACCTAGCTGACTCAGTCTCATGCTGCCTTGGTTTTAGGCATCCTGATCTGGTGGATCTTTTCTGAACAAGGGCAAACACCTGTCTTTTTCCTCTTCCATATTTTTTTTTTTTTTGGCAATTGGGGTTAAGTGATTTGCCCAGGGTCACACAGCTAGTAAGTGTCAAGTGTTTGATCTGAGGCCAGATTTGAACTCAGTCCTTCTGACTTCAGGGCCGGTGCTCCATCCACTGCGCCACCTAGCTGCCCCCCTCTTCCATATGTTAAGATCATTCTATGTTCTTTGTTCTTTCCTTTGTACCAAGCAGTCACTCAGTCTCTGTCTTATTAGACTTCAGTCTGTATCAGAAACCGGTGATTCCTATATGAGATAGTAGGGAACTGACCATGATGTTCTTATTGCTTGGCTACATTTTGGGGATCAGTAAATAGAGAAGAACCAGTGGGTACAATCTAATGCCTTTGACAAAGTCCCATGCCAAAGGCTATATACAATTTTGATTCACAGTGGGCTTAGGGGCTGGGCAAAATAGTTTTGTCTAAGATAATGAAGAATCCTAGGGAAATGAAAGAAAGGGCAGAGATAATCATCATAATAGCTAACATTTAGATAATACTTTACAATTTTCAAAAAATTTTACATATATTATCATATGTAAATCATATCATACAGCTGTTGAACCTTACAACAACCCCAGGAGGTAGGTGCTGTTTTTATACTCATTTTGAGGAAACTGAGACCTGGGGAAGTGATAGGACTTCCTCAGTGTCACACAGTAAGTAGCTGAGGCAGGATTCAAACTCAGATCTTGCAGAATCCAGTTCTATCTCCATTATGCCATCTAAGGATAAATCAGTTCTTCTCTGGATGGAAGAGTATAAAGATCTCTGTTCCTTAGGGACTGCTGCTTGAATTAGTATTATTAGTTGTTGTTCAGCCATTTTCAGTCATTTCCAACTGTTTACTGGGGGATTTCCTGCAGAGATACTGGAGTGGTTTTCCATTTCCTTCTCCAGCTCATTTTACAGATGGGGAAACTGAGGCAAACAGGGTTAAGTAACTTGCCCAGGAACACACAGTTAGTAAGTGTCTGAGGCCAGATTTGAACTCAGGAAGATGAGTCTTCCTGACTCCAGGCCAGGTGCTCTATCCATTGTGCCACCTAGCTGCCCTACTAATTTAATATCTTTATACATTATTTGTAGGAGGGAGCACACAGCAAAATCTACAAGTAAAAAGATAACAGTAAACTCTTCGTGGGAGGGAAAAAATGCTGGATCTAGAGTTGAGAGAAAATAGGGCTTGAAGAATGCACCACCTGGCCAAAGCATCTTTTGCAGCCTGAGCATAAGCTGTCCTTGGCCCCCACCCCTGATCTCCAGTGGTGTGTATAGAATAGAAAGCTGGAAGGGATTTTAAAGAACATCTACTCCTACCTCCCCTCCGCCCCCCAACCTTTTACACATGTGTAAATTGAGGGCCAGCGAGTTGAAGGGACGTGTTCAAGGTCACACATATAATACTTAGCAGAGACAAGATTGGAACTGAGGAACTCTTACTTCAACTTCATTGTTTATTTACTACATCATACTGTCCTGGCTATCTAAGGATGCCTGCAGCCTTCCTTGACTGAAAGTTTGAGCCAAAGCAGGCTTAGGAAAATAGCTTCAGGCTATTTTCAGGCCCCTAGATTGCATCGACTTCTGGCATGGAGCTACTGGGGAGTCCCAAGGGGGTTTGAGTTCAGTAACACTAAACAGATTTATAGGACCACTGGAAGTCCTCGGAATTCTAAAAGGGACCTGAACAATCCTAAGGGTTCTTTGTTGCAGACTGATCCCATCTAGCTAGGGCTGCCAGGATGGATGCACGACGTATTTCTTCTATCTTGAGCTATGAGTAGGGAGCTGTTTATAGTATGAGGCTTTCACAAGCCAAACCATGGAGCTATTGAACAAACTGCCCCTGCATAGGTCCCTCTCATTCCACTGTGCAAATGGGAGCCCGGGAGGCTGGCTTCTTGGAAAACATGTTCTGTTCTGTTCCCACTTCCCTAATGAACTCACGTGATTTCCTATTTGCCCGAGACCGTTTTCTTTCTCTAGGCACCACTCGCTGACTGGGCACTTGGGTGGCCGATTTGACGATGCGATCCATGATCTCATCTGCTGCATCATCTGTAACGTTGGGGGAGTCATCAACGCCGGCGTGCCACGTGCTGCTGGTAGAGCCTGGGCAGAAAGAACCCCAAGAGATATATGGTTGTGAAAAAAAGGAAAAGAAAAAAAGACAAAATGAGCTCTGATTTTTCATCTAGAAGTTGTATGAAAATTGGGTCATATCCTCCTGAGCATTATCTCAGCAAAAGTCCAACTGAGAGGTTAACACATCTGCATTTGTATTCACCACTTCAAATGACATCAGAATAGTCTGAGTGCCTTCCAGCTAATGCTGAGTTCTTAAAGATGAGTGATCAGGTCTGGCGTTTCTTTGATATGCATCTTGAAAGGGCAATTCAGTGGCTCAGTGGAAAGAGTGCTGGATCTGGAGTCTAGAAGAACTTGGGTTCAAATCTAGTCTCAGATTCTTACTAGCCATGTGACCCTGGACAAGTCATTTAACTTCTCTTTACCTCTGTTTCCTCATCTGTAAAATGAGCCTCCCAGAGTTGTTGTGAGGATCAAATGAGATAATACAGTGCCTGGCACATGATATTACATAAATGTTAGCTATTATTATTATCTCAGTGCCAAGTTTAGAACTATATACATCATAGATATTAAATAAATACTCATTACATGCGTGAATGAATCCTGTGAGACATATAAAGTTGGTATCATTATCTCTGTTCCACAGACAAGGAAGCTGGAACTGAGAGAGGGTAAAGCATTTGCCTAAGGTCACACAACTAGTTGAGATGCCTCTCTTTGGGTTGGTTTTCTAGTAGTGAATGATAATGGGTAATTCTAAGCCTTTCTGGCAAACTGTTGTTGTTATTCACTCAGGTCTGACTCTTTGTGACCCCATTTGGGGTTTTCTTGGCAAAGATACTGGAGTGGTTTGCCATTCCCTTCTCTGGTTCATTTTTCAGATGAGGAAACTACAGGGTTAAGTGACTTGCCCAGGGTCACACAGCTAGTAAGTGTCTGAGGCCAGATTTGAACTCAGGAAGATGAGTCTTCCTGATTCCAGCCCCATACTCTGTCTACTGTACTACCTAGCTGCCCAGGTAAATGGCTCACAATAAACACACCAGAAAAACAGCACACACTTCTGAATAGGCAGATGTTTAACTCTTAAGGGAGAAAAGGTCTTCCCCTGGAAATTGTGCCATCACACCAACTGTATATGTGGCCATAAGCTGATTATTCTTTCCTTATATTTGTCATCATCCATATCCCCATGCTTAGACTCACACAGAATCTACCCCTGCCTCCTTGCCACATAGCTGTGACAAAGAGTGGGGGTTAGGTTTAATGACTGGCCCTGTGCCATTAGGACATTTCATGAGCACCAGTTTAAAAACTGTAACGGTGACTAATTCAGATGAGGAGATTAAAAAAACACATACAAAAAAACCCCCAATTCAGGCTTTTTTCCAGCAAATCCCCTAGTTAGGACTATCTAGTGAGTATATGCAGGTTGCACGCCCTAGTAATAACCAGCCATTATTGTTGTTTTAAAAACTGGAAGAGGTGGAACTAGACTGAATCAGACCAAAACGTTAGCACTGCGGCCACTTTTCATATGAGCCAGCAACCAGACTGCCAGAAAGGACAGAGGGAAGGCTGGGAATCTAGACCTTTACTGACTATCCTCAGGGGAATCCTGTGGGGAGACCCTTCAGTGGTTTTTCATTGGCTTTGTTCCCTGACCAGGCTTTTTGAAAGCTTGCTACTGTCACATTTCTTCCCCTCTCCCAATTACACAAGAAAATAAATTTTATGTACAAAACGACATTAGAAGGTAATTATCCCCATTCCTCAGACAGTTGAGGGCTAGGCTGCTGGGAGACCCATCAAGCGAAGCTGTCTCCAGATTGTCATTCCTTTTATCTAATCCATGTGGGTCTTTAGGGTTGTAAGAATTCCACCAGCAATTCTTGAGGAAGAAAACCTACGGCCTGCCTAGGAGGCCAATGTTGAAGGGTCAGCACTGGTGGTTTAAAGCTGGCTGCTGGCTGCTAATTAGTGTCATCTTTCTCTGACCCAGAGAGCCTAGAGCTATTTCTTGTGCCCTTGCCAGGAAGGACTCTGTATTATGGTTTTCCAAACTCCCTTAGGGTTGGGTAATTTTGTGAAATCACCTGTTAGCTTCCCCTTTCCTAACTCCATATTTAAAGTTTGTGTGAAGATAAGAAATAACAGTACAAAAGAGCTCACAAAAGGGCATATCTGAACGGTCAGCCAAGTGGGACAGACAGTAAGCGAGAGGCAACATGCAGTAGTGAAGAGAATGCTGCACTTGGCAGTCATGAAGACCCGGATTATTCATATCCCATCTCTGACACTCATTAGCTATGTGGACGTGGTCAAGTCACATAACCTTTCTGAGCCACAATTTCCTCATCTGTAAAATGGACCTAATAATACTTGGCAATATAAGACTATTATGAGGCTCAAATGAGAAAATGCATGTAAGCCTTAAAGAGCTTCAAAAATGTCAGCACCTATTATTAGTGTTATGAGTTCAGAGGAGGGAAAGATCATTGTAGACTGGGTTAATATGAAAAAGGCCAAACTGGGCTTTTGAAGAGAGGGAATTAACTAGAAGAAGAACTCCCTGGCAAGTAAACTCTGTCCCCCAATTCACTTGCCATTCACCAACCAATGGGAAGGAGGGTGGCATTGGTGGAGTCCCTGGGGGAGAGGAAACAATAAATGCAAAATCCAGAGCCAGAAGATAGAGGCTATTTTTTTCTGCTGAGCATTTATTTCATGTCATACAATGGTAATGATACAAGTGTATCTTCATCAATCTATAAAGATGATGCTTCCTCCTCTTCCGTTGTCAATTGACTGTGATAACACCTACCTCAGTGTAGAACTTTTGCTTTTCAAATTGTTTTATAGCTTGACCTTGAACGAGTCATTTATAATCTCTCTGAACCTCAGTTTCCTCTTCTTTAAAATGAGATTAGACTTAAATGGCCTTTGAAGTTCCTTCCTATGATGGGGGTCTTTAACGTTTTCTGTGTCAAGACCCCTTTGGCAGCCTGGGTGAAGCCAAGGGATCACTTATCAGAGTAATGCTCAAGTGTGTAAAATCAAATACACAGGATTATAGAGAAAATCAATCATATTGGTGAAATACAGTTAAACCAAGTTCACAGACCCCAGGTTAGGAACCCTACATCTAAGAGCCAATTTCATTAAAGCTTGCATAATGAAGAGAGTGCTTTTAGGAAGGAAGTGGCCAATTACCTCTGCTGGCTCGGCTTCGTGTCCTCACGCCCAGCACTGAGGTGCCCTCTTCACCAACAGAGGAGGTTTTCAGCACAGCCTTCATATTCTCATGTTCAGCCGCATCTTCTGCATATTCCAGTCCCTGTGGTTGGCTCTGGGAGGGAGTGGAACTGCTGGAGAATTTTCCGGTCTGAAAAAAGGCAATCAGAGTCAGGATATGTGTCACCTTTCTGGAACAGTTGAATTCTGTTCAAGTGGGAAAAAGAAATCCATCGCTGAATTCCATTAAAAGGAAAAAAAAGCAAACTGAATACTGTTAGAGGTGCATGCTGCCTCTGTAGGTCCAACTATTACTGCAGTTTACAGGGGCTGTTTATCTGTTTGGAGATAATAATAATAATAGCATTTACATAGCGCTTTTATGTTTGCAAAGTACTCTACAAGTGTTACCTCATTTTATGAAAACATTTGTGTGACGAGTTCTGTTGTAAGAGAGAAGAGCTCTTGACTCTTCTGTTTGCCAGAAGAAGGACCTTGTTGGGGGACAGGACAGGGACTGGACCTGTGGTTTCACTAACTTCCTGGAGAATTGACTCCAACCCCCATTGCAGGTTGGCACTCTCTCTTTAACTTATAGTCTTGGAGAGTTGTTGAGAAGACCAACAAATCCATCAACTCTAGTCTTTCTTTCTCTTTCTTTCTCTATCTAGTATCTATCTATCTATCTGTCTGTGTGTCTGTCTGTCCTTCTGTCTGTCTATCTATCTATCTTTTTATGGCTAACCAGCCTTGTTACTTCACAGTTATGCTGACTTATGCTTCTTTACAACCATTCTTACATCTTCACATATCTGTATTGTGTCTCCCTCAGGAAACCACCCATGTCTTGATGTCTTCTATTTCTTTGTGCAACTGCTGCCTATACAGGGTCTGGCCCAGTTCTCATCATATAGTACATGCATGGTGAATATTGATTTGACTCCAAATGGCTACTGTACAGGAAAAGGAAGGAGTGCTAATTTTATAGAAACAATCTTGTGTGTGACATTGCTTGAGGGTGTTAAGATGTCCTGTTAAAAAAAAAAAAAGTCAGGGCAGGTGGTTCATTGGATAGAGCGCCGGTCCAAGTTCAAATCCGGCCTCACACACTTGACACTTACTAGCTGTGTGACCGTGGGGAAGTCACTTAACCCCATTGCCTAACAAAAAACAAACCAAAAAAAAAAAAAAAAGAAAAAAAAGTTACATTGCTATGAGGGGTGAGGACAAGGCTTGGAACTCTAATTTCAATGGTATAGGGAGTTCTGAGATAAAGAAACTCTTATTAGGGCAGGTCAACACCTTCTAGGCAACTTTGTAGTTTTAGAGACCTGCCCAGAAAACAAAGTATGATAGAAGCAAGGTTTGAACTCAGGTTAGTGATGGGTAAGTTTGGCCATAGGGATTTAGCATTCCTGAAAAGGGGGTCCATTTTCTTGCCAAGAAATCCTTAAATAACCCTACAATAACATCTAACCATTTATGCAATCATCAGGATAGCATACAGTTGATCTGATTGGTCACCATCGGAAATGAGCGTGAATAGATTGACCACAGATGCATGACTGTGTATGTTATCTTTATTTGTATTTGTGTCATCTCCTCTGGGGACAGGCACTATGTCTCATTTAGACTTTGTATCTCTCCCGTGCTTAGCATACTGATCTACGTACACCCTTAGTAGTGTTTAATAGGTACTTAATAAATGTTTACTGAATAAATGATGGATGGAAACCCTATTGACTATATTATTGATTGATGTGATGGTGAAAAAAAAATGAATTGTCTGGGGAATAGCTGATTCTCTTATTCATTGAGTTTCTATTCCATCCAGCCAATCACTTTGCTCCTAGTTAGGATGTACATAGATAACTGGGTATGGTGGCACAGATGAGTGTAAATCCTTGCTGTCGTTTTTGTCCTTCATGCTTGAAGAGGACCACGGAGACATCATGATGTTAGGGTTAATGCATAGTGTGTAAATCCCTTCTATTGCGCAGGTGGAGGCTGTGTGCTAAGCCAATCTGGTATCTGAATTAACCCAATATGATGAATCTTTGAGGGATGGAGGAGCCATTAAGCTTCCTAAGGAGGGGAAACTGGTCCATGATGGAAACAGAGCAGGTCAAAGTTCTCATGTGGGGATCACTCCTAGGAGAGGAGTACTAGGAGAGATAGGGAGTCCCACAGGGAAAAAAAATATATATATATATATGTATGATGTGTATATATATATATACACACACATACACACACACACACACACACACATATATATATATATATGGATAAATGAATAAGAGGAACAAGCACTTTCTTTCAGACATTCTGTTTTCACAAACCGATTTAAGGTTCATCCTTTCATAGTAGAGAAGCACCATTAACATTGGCTCAAATTTTGAGGTCTAAGTAAAACATTAGGATGAGGTGCCATACTGCTTCCACACTATGGGGACTTAGGTAGTAGCTATACCTGAGATTATGACTTACAGCAAATATCCAGTGAATATGGAAAAATTAGAGCATCCATAAGTTTCCAAATATCTATGGTGAGGTGTAGTGTTTGCCCTCATCCCCCCCCCCCACCCTGCAACATAGTATAATTCTGGGTTGTATGTACCAGTTCATAATTTGGAAAAGGAATTTTAAACTGGAAGCAGTGATGGGCAAAGAATAAAATCTGTGGAAAGCTATATACATGTTATATTACATGTAAACTCATGCTAAAACAGTGAAACAACACCCACTACACCTGGTAGGGACAGACATTTAGTAGTTTTAACAATCATCTGTAAAAAGTCATGCAAACTGGTGTTCTCTTGTTCTATGAACCATAAATTCCAGACCAATCATAATAACATTTTAAAGGAGGCAAGTTAGTACTTCACGTACTCCTTCATGTAATGGCTCCATGATGCCAAATATCTAGATGAATCCTGAAAAATTCCATCATCGAGATTTTTGGGGGGAAACATAGGATTTCTATAACTTTACTTTCTTTTTCTTTTACCCAGTGGTTTGGCATTCTATAGATCCAGCCCTAGCCATGACAGTAAAGGCAGCTTTATAAATCATTCTACAAAGTTTTAGATCTATAACAACTGCCTGAAGGCTAGATGGCTGTCACTTACATTTTCCAATGATAATCCCCCTCCCCTGTTATCTTCACCTCATTCTATTGCCACTAGTATTACTAGGTTCAATTAATGCAAATATCAGGCAATTTAGATTTCAAGAAACAAAACTGGAGAATCAGAAAGAGTAAGAATAGATTTCTTTTCTATATTCCTGGTAATATTTCATGTTCAAGAGTGTTTTAAGAGTCAAAATCCAAATCTTGGACCCCTTATTTCACCAAAAAGAGCTGGGCTATCCCTGAGGGGCATGTGGGCATTTTTCCTGGTTTCTGTTCACTTCCAGTGGCAAGGAAAACACAATAAGATTCTGCCTGAAACTCCTGAAAACTCTGCCTCATGGCTGACTGAGCAGGAACAATGCAAACCCCCATAAAAGGCTGTTAATGGTAAAACAGATGACCAAACAGAAAATCCCAAGTGTATGGCTTCAAGCCCCCAAGTTTCAAATGTTGAGCACTTCACACTGCTAATGTTAGGAACAGACTTCACAGCACACGCCAAATAGGTCAAAAGGATCATTTCAAGCTTTTGAAGCAAACATACCTCAACTTCATCCTCTTCATCAGTCTATCAGAAGGAAACAAATAATACACAGAAGATAAGAAGATTCTTAGCAGGTACAAAAGCAGAGCATGTTCTTAGAGTTCTTGACATTACCCTCAGCTCCCCAGTAAGCTCAGGAAACATAAAAACAATGGCAATTTTCCAAGTGGATCCCCATTGTCTACCTCATCAAGTGTAAGCTAAATACAATGCAGCAGAAAGTGTGATGAATGTGGGATTTGGGGACCTTGATTCTAGTCTCAGATCTGATATAGCTAGCTGTGTGTCCTTGGGCAACCTTTCTGGTCCCCATTGAGGGCTCTCTTGGGCCCTTCCTATGTGAATTGAAAGGACTGGATTAAATGATCTTTCAGCTACCTTTTCGATCTCAAAATTTATGATTTTCCTTTCTGTACCTTTGGAGATTCTCCATGCTGAGACACTCCCCTTACTATCCATCTTTCATTCATTGATTCAATCCAACAAACATTTACTGGGCCCCTAATTTGTAGCTGATAACTCTGCTAAAAACTAGAGGTATTGCAAAGGTGAAATAGACATGGACCTTGTTCTCAGAAAGCTTAGAGTCTCATAGAAGATTTTATTTTACTTTCTATTTCTCAGCATTCTGGTCAGTCTCCATCCTGGCCTATGGACATGCCACATTTGCCTTTCCTTCTTGTCTTGCGCCTTTGCTCGGATTGCTCCTAGTGACTGTAATATTCTCCTCAAGCTCTACTTCTTGGAATTGTAAGTATCCTCCAATTCAAGTGTGACCCAAGATTTACAGGAAATCTGCTTCAGGAACTCTAGCCTTACTGATCTCTCCCCCTCCAGAGACCTCTTAGAGCATGTCAAGTCAGTGCTGTGTCGCAAACTGGCTTGTTTGGCTTTTTCTTGAATGTTTATTTTGTTTCCCCAAGGAGATTATAAACTACTTGAGGGCAAGGACTGGATTTTATGCTTCTTCAATATCCCTCACAAGAGGTGGTAAATACAGTGCCTGCCAGAAACAGTGCTCAATTAAAAGAATCATCCTATCTTAGAATCTGAAAGAATTTGGAAGGAAGGTATCAAATCTTAATCTCTCATTTTGAGGCAGGAAACTTCTCTATCACATCCTCAATACGTGGTCATTTCACTGCTCATTGAATAATTACAGTAATGTTGTTTAGTTGTTTTTCAGTTGTGTCCTACTCTTTGTGACCCCATTTTTTTTTGGTTTTGTTTTGTTTTGGAAAAGATGCTGGAGTGGTTTGCCATTTCCTTTTCCAGTTCATTTTACAGATGAGGAAACTGAGGCAAACACAGGTAAGCGACTTGCCCAGGGTCATATAACTAATAAATATTTTAGGCTCGATTTGAACTCCAGAACATGAGTCTTTCTGACTCCAAGCCCAGTGCTCTTCTATTCCAAGCTTACTGCACCACCTAGCAGCCAAACTTTACAATTACTGGACTAGGAATAAAG